CACACACACATATCATACATACATATATCATATATATATATATTTATAAATAAATATATACATACATATATATATATAACTAAAATGATAACCAAACTATTACATATATTAAACCTAGAACAAATAAGGAAAGTAAAACAAAAATTGCATTTTGAGATTTAAGGGTAGATGTCTAGAGAATCACTCTCTCTCTCTATACTAGAAAGGTACTCGCGTAATACATCGAGATACATTTTGATTTTAATATTTCATTTTATTTTTTTATCTCAATCGATGTTATAATATGGTTTTATGTGATTTTGAAAAAGCAATGATGTTTTTATTTTTAAATAAAATATAAATTTGAAGATATCATAAAAATTTGACAAAATTATATCGATATTAGTATCAAATTAATTATATAAAATTCCTCAAATCTTGTGTAATTTTTTAATTCAAAATTTTTAATTATAATTTAGTTTAAGTTCAATAACGAAGTAATTTATATTTCGTTTAGTAATATAATTTTCTTATAAAGATAATAGTTAATTATTTTGTTAGAACTCGATAATTATTCTAATTATATTTTAGATATTTTATAATTTAAAATGAAATGTTTATCCTCTATTTGATTATGTTTATCCGCAGTTAGTTATACGAATTCAAACATGGAGCTTTAATAAGTTGTACTTATGCATAATTTACTTGTAATTTTGAATTTTAAGTAATATGCATCAATATACAGTACTTCATGCATAAAAAAATGATTTTTAAGAGTTTTTTGTCAAATGCTTTATAATATAGTATAAATATATATATTTTACAACTTTGAAGATATTCAAGTGTCCAATCAAATATTTATTTTTAAATCACAACTACTGTATGTATATGTATATATAGGTGTCCTGAAGTGAGTGTTTTGGACAGTAATGAATGGATCTTAGGAGAGGCTATTTCATTTGTCATACAAGAAGCACATAATTAATTGCAAATCAAGGATCTTTCTATTAGTTAGACTAAATAGAAAGGGGCAGCCACAGGAACTATTGATGGTTAAATCATATAAAGATTGTGCTCTATGTTTCATTTTCCTATATCTATAATTGTATGTTATTAGTGTGATTATTGGTCCTAAAAGGCATCCATATACAGAACATAAATGTTTAAAGTTATGCCTCCATGTGAATACTTGAGTCGAAAAACTTAGTACTACATGCACTTTCAATAGCAACTGTTAGCATCAACAATTCCCGATGATCCAACTGCATATGTGACACACTGATGCAATATAAATAAACTATCAGGAGAATTTATTTGATGAAGGTCTTCATATTAAAGTAGGCTTATGGTGGTGGTTCTTTTGCTGTCATCACCTAGTTAGTTCCTGGTATTACAATGACCATGTTAGAAGAACACTTATGCATCATGTTCTCAAGGGCAAAATGCATCAACATATGGTTTACTTCTCATTTACTGCAAGGCAGAGCCACCCTTTGCTCATGTCGAGACTTTGTAAAAAGAAAAAAATATATTTATAACCCAAATCCAACGCCGTTCACTTATTTTTTTCTCTTGCTTGAAATGGCATACATGTGAAACTTAAGAGTTAAATAAGTGGTTGATAAAAGTTTAAGGACTGAAATGGCATA